ACTTTTCTCATGCTTGTCTTAGAGCAGGGATGACCAACCTGCTGATGGTTCCTAAGAGCTACAGTCCAGAAGCATCTGGAGGACCACAGGATGACTACCCCAACTTAGCAAATGAGTAGGAGGATAACTGAATTAGCTGATCCCTTCAATCTTTTTGCTGATTTTCCTTTTCAAACTATATTTTCAATAAGGTACAGTGTATTATTTTAGCTCCCTGGATGTTGGGAAAGTGTGAAGGCAAGAGGAGAAGGGGACGACAGAGGACGAGATGGCTGGACAGCGTCATTGAAGCTACCAACATGAATTTGACCATACTCTGGGAAGCAGTGGAAGACAGGAGTGCCTGGCGTACTCTGGTCTATGGGGTCACGAAGAGTTGGACACGACTTAACAACCAAACAACAATTATTTTATCTCATTGATTTATTCATCTTCATAAATATGTATCTTGAACAGCAATTTCTGAGAGATACACATAGCAATCAACTAAAATGTTATAAAATGACAAAAGCTGCCAAAACAACTAGCAAAGAGCCCTTTAAGCTATTTGGGCCACAGTTCCCACCATCATTGATCATTGACCAGGGGTAGTGAGGATAAAAATCTAGTAATGTCTGAATGGCCACATCCATGGTTATCCCGTAGATGGGTGGGGGAGGTGTGTGTGTGTGTGTATTCACCTTGTATTAAAAAGAGTGTAGGTGCCATATGGGCCTTTTTAGAACACCTATATAGGGAGGACACCACCACCAAGAGGGATGTTCTGCCAGTCATTACTGAGCTTTAACAGGGCGCTCAAGAGACAGCAGATACATGGGTGTATTTTCTCACCGAAAACCGGCTGGCTCCATTTTACATGGCCTGAATTTTTCAAAAACATCTCCAGCTAATAAAGCATGGTCCACTACTTCAGCTTGGAAATGGCTACTGCATAAAGTCACTGAGGTCGATGGAAAGATCTGTCTTTCTCCACAGAAACACTACTTGAGCAAGGCAGTAATGAAATTGTGGAATTCTGCAATAGAATGGTGTTATGCTCACCAGCGGATCTCTCAATATGTGTAGAGTTATACAGTATGTTCATATAACTGTACACATTCAGAAAGCCAATCCCTTTGTTTATAGAAATATGTCACTGAACATTAGGCTTCATCACTTCCAAGTCTTACTTCCATCCTGTGGGAAAATCATTGTTGAAATTTGTGTTCGCAGTTTAAAAAAAGCACACCAGACTCTACCTATCTAGTTCTGTCCAGGAGGGCAAGCAATTGTCCAGAACAGTCTGTTCTGTCTCTTTTAAGCTTCCCAAGAGAAACAGTAGAACACTGCTGTCTCTTCTGGTAGTAATTTGATGCCAAACTACCGTACTGCTGGTCATTTACAAATGTTTCAATAATAAAGAATCCATGCTAGCAGATTGATAATTGGAAAGCCTTATGCGTTGTTGTCCAATGTCCACATCTCTCTTAGCCTACTCTGTAAATCCATTCAAGAGGGCAGGGCAGGGGCTTGGAGGGTGGCAACTTTTTTTGTCTCTCTCTTACCTAAATTAAATGTAAATTTACACGGTGGCTAAGGGATTTCTTGCACCAGCTCTTCATAACTGCTGCACAGGTAGGGCTGCCAGCTCATAGGTGTATTTAAACTCCTATCCAAAATGAAGACAGTCTCTGGGATGGAATACTACAGATTGTTCCACTGACATGTTTCCAACAATAGAATCAGAAGGGGGCTATTCTTTATCCCTGTACTGTGAGCTCTCAGACCAGTTCTGGAGACCTGGGAAATTATTTGAAGTGATTTTTCACTGAGGAAAGAAAATCCTTGTGTTCGTGGTTGTCTATTGATGCAATACTGGATTCAGGCTATTTATGGTTGGTTCAATATTTTAATGCTTCATTCTGACCTGTGTCATTAAATACTTTCCCTGCCTTTCCAGTAAGGATGATATGATTCAAGAAACAGAAAATGGAACCATTCCTAATTTGATCACAGCTCAAGTGTAGAACCTAGATGACTCCTTTCTCCTGAGATGTTCAGAACTAGGAAGGTCAGAAGGTTAAGAGCCTGCAAAAATTTAGCAGGCTAAGGACAAAAAAACTGAGTAGGAAACTGTAAATGTCAGTGCTGAATCACTTTTGGTAAATTTGTTCACTTTGAGAGGGGCTGGGTTAACTTTATAAAGTTGCTTCCACATACGTTCTGAAGGCTACATGCTCTGTACAGTATACAGTATTTACAAATGAAGCAATCTATTCTATCTCCAGGATAAGGTTGTAGTGATTACTTCCTTCAGGGATTACATGTTCTTTCTCCTTTGTTATTCATTTGCTGTCAGGTTGTCTCCAATTTATGGTGACTTACCTGTACAAGTGACCTCCAAAGGGTCCTCTCATTAATAATCTGCTCAGCTATTTCAAACTCGAGGTCATGGCTTTCTTGTGTTAATTCATCTCATTCTTCCTTCTTTCCTGCTTTTAATTTTTTCCAAGCTCTCCTCTAGCACCACACTTCAAACAAAATTATTTTTTTTCCCTTTTAGCTTCATCACTGCCATCTTCTGATTTCTTTGCAGTAGTCTCCATTTGGATTGTTGGCTGAATGAAGGGAAACAAAATCTTTAACAATTTCAATTTCTTCTTCGTCAACATCAAAGTTATATAGATCTTCTGTAGTCATGATTTTTTGCTGTCTTAACATTCAGCTGCATTTGCACTTTCTTCTTTCACTAATCAGGAGGTATTTAAAAAGAGAGAGATGATATACGTTATTAAAATACAGTAGTTATGTAGATGGGACCCTGTTCCTGTGAGTAGGAAGTAAAATTTCATGCAAGAGTTTATTAATGAAATTTATTGTATAACAAGCCTCTCTACCTACAATTTAGCTCATCCCCAATCTCATCACTTAAAAAAGCAATTTGTTTTCCAGTCAAACCACTAGTTTTTAGTTTTTATGAAAATATGTCTGGATAATGAAGAAATGCATCTTTCCTAAATGCTGGACAGTTCATCATCAGTGTACATCTTTCTGAAGACATTTCAGATCCACAACAGGAAATGCACATTTCAAAATATGCATCATATACAATTAACTCAATACAACTATGGGTGAAAGTAAATTGCTCCTTCATTTCACAGCTTTATTTGTTTTATTTATATAGTAGTTTTCCATACACGCTCAAGGCATATGATGAATAGATTCTGCTGATGGCTTTTGCTTGACAGTTGGGGAAGTTTGTGTGTGTGCAAGGTTCTAAATACTGTATACATATGAGACAACATTCAAACATACTGTCTCATACACTCATTTGTTTTCGTTGCATATTCTAGGAAAAACTTATACCTCCATTTTCTATTGTGTGTATATAACCAGTTTATAGGAAACGATGGCTCAGATATGTAAGTGTTCTACCAAATCCAATTCACTCAGGAAGACGGCATTAAAAGTGACTCAACATTTAGCGGAGCCCTTCAACCCTTACTGGTCCTTGTTATAAATTTAAAGAGGGACCAGATAGTGTGTACAGCAAGATTCCCTTTAAGCTGCAGGGCACACAGTGCTGCACCCCCTCTGTGCAGCCACACACCCACAACGGGGTTGAAAATTAGAGGGAATTTTGATGTACAGCACATGCACCTCCCTACAGTTAAATCTTAAAGCATGTTACAGCCTAGAAGATTTACCATGGAATAAGCTTTCGTGTACTCGTGTCCACTTCATCAGATGCACCACAGTGGTCTCCTTCAGGTAGAAGGGAATCATGTAAACCAAAGGGTCGAAAGCTCATGGCATTACAGAGTTCATCCTGTGCATATAAGCTTGTTTTCCCAATAATAAGCACTGTAACAATTCAAAACAATGTCATTAATTGTCACGCAATCTTTTTGGCTGGGATTGCTATAACACCTACAATGCAAAAGATAGTTCTAATCCCACTTGAATTTAAAATAAATAAAATTTGGGTATGGAAAAGGATCTATTATCCACTTGAAAAAAAATCGTAAATAGACAAATGATTAATCGAGCAGATATGCTTTGATTAGTTGGCAGCCTTCATTGTGAGACATGGTCCTTGTTTTCAAAGGTAGCAACTGATAATTTTTTTAATTGGCGTAATACAAAGAGCCAGTGTGGTGTAATGTATAAAGGAACAGAATGAGACTCAGGAAATCTGGCTTCAGACCCCTGCTCAGCCATGTAAACTCACTCCTCTGTGCACCTATGTGCCAATGGAAAACCACAGCCCGAATATCTCACATACCTTAGAGTGACCCTAATGCCGTTTCTAAACTGAAATCACATAACAAAAAATAAAAGGTATCAGATTGATTAAGTGAATCCCAATATTTAAAGAGTATTCTCTGCAGACTGCACAGACGTCTCATAACACCTGAGAATAGTGTTCTTTATTACTGAAATGCAGTGTTTCCTGACCAAGAATGTGATGAAAAAGTATGAGACAGATGAGCTACAGGACTTGGAAAAGGACAAAAGACTGATCTGAACAAGCAGGCAGACCTGGAGCTAGGCAATTTTCCATTTTAGGAGGCCTCTAAATAGCCATTGTAAGAAAATGGAAAAGCTGGCTACAGAAAAGGAACATAAGCAAAGTCTTGAATCAGGAGGGACAAACATGGGTTTTCAGCTGTTGTTGGGAGTACCACTCCCACTATCCTTCTATGTTGGTGAGGATAGATGGGAGTAGTAGTCCCAACAAAATCTTGGAGGGACTCATCCTTCCGTGAACCATATTAAAGAGGCAAGCGAAACAGCAGAATGGATATTTCTCCCACAGAGGAATGTGAAAAACAAAATTAGAAATGATTTTTTGTGTGGTCCCAAACCAAGGAAGGCCAAAAGGTGAATGAGGCCGACCAAGTGAAACGAGCAACGAAGGGGTGAGGTACCCGATGGCAGGCCCAAGGGGAAGAGGGGCAGTGACCGGGTGAGGCAGAAAAACAACACGACAAGCAGCGGCCTCCCCGGTGGTGGAACCCAAGGGGCGAGGGGGGCCAAAAGCGCCCGAGAAGGCGCGACCTGGCGTCGCCTGAGGGCAACTTGCCCCGGAAGGGTCGGCGCCCGCCTGGGAAAACGAAGGCAGGCCCCGGTTCTCTCAGGAACTGCCTGTTTCTTCCTCTCTTTCTCCGCCGAGGAAGAGGCCGAGGGAACAGGGAAGCCGTCTCTTTGTCCACGCCTTCCCGCCGAGGGAAAACTCCCACCAGAGAAACGCAGGAGGAAAGAAACACAGGGGAATAACGACGAGTCGGGCGACACCCGTAAACCTCTTTACGCAGGGCCGTCATCACCAGAGGCGGCCTCTCCAGGCCACAAAGCTTCTGGCGAACCAAACGTGCCACTAGGTTCTTCTTCTTTCTTCTTTTTTTGCAGGAGCTGACGAACGCCTACCCTAGCGCCTACTTTCCCGGGCTCGGATATCAGGAGGCGGGCGTCCCCACCTTCCCTGGAGAGTCTCTCCTCTGAAGAGGCGCAGCTTGGCGCGGGGGGGAAGCGCCACGCTTTGCCCCTCCGGGTTCCCGCCCTCCGGCCATTGCTTCCCTCCCCGCCCGGCCCTGCCTGCCGAGGGGCTCTACTCCCACTTCTTTTCTGCCTTCGCCGGAGGCGGTCAGGATGCTACCAAGGGGTTCCCTCTTTTCGGGACTTTTCATCCTCCTGGCCTCCTGGAGGAGCAGCGGGGCGACGGGAGCTGCCGCCTCCCGAAGCCCAACCACGACGGCGGCCGTCTACAGCCTGCGCGGGAGGTGGCAAGTGAGCAACGGAAACGGCTCGCTGGTGCTGGACGGGGAGGTCCCCGGGTGCATCCACATCGCCTTGCTCCAGGGCGGGCTGATCCAGGTACGGTAGGATCGGGAGCCCGCCGGGTAGTCAGCTTGCGCCGTGCCGGTCCGAAAGTTGGCCGCCCAGCAGCCAGCCGGGCAAAGCTGCGCCTTTTCTCTGAGGTCGGGGTCCCAGTCAGGAGCACAGCTCCGAAGTAACGAGTTACTTGTAATTCTTCCTCCCCTCCCCCCAATCTTGTTTCGTTGCAATAACCTGAGATGGGGAAATTTGCTGTTTGGACTTCAATCGCGCGGGCAGCGTGGCCGCTGACATGTTGGCTGTGGGATTCTGGGAGTTGTAGTCCAGAAAAGCAAGGTGTCTCATCTATGGCTATGCCAAGAGCTTAAAAAAAGTTAAAAACAAAACGAAAACGTGGTGGCACCTTAAAGACTAACTTTTTATATTTTTAATGTGAGCTTTCGCGGACTTCCGTGTATTAGGCTCACACTGAAAATATAAAAGTTAGTCTTTAAGGTGCCACCACGTTTTTGTATTTTTCTTTTTACTTTTTATTTCTATTTTGCTTTTGCCAGTAATGTTTTCACAGACTAACAGGGTTATCCCTTCTACAGTTAAAAACAAAAGAGGGTGATGCTGTCATTAGACCGAGAATGTCTCAAAAACAGGCTAGCTTTTTAGTCTTGCAAGTCTCTTCATCAGGCTGGGCATGGCAGAGTTTGGGGGAAGGGGAGAGAAAAAGATGTGTATCTTTTACACATCCTAAATATGTGTAAATAATTAATATTTTCTTCTTATTGTTGTACTGTTTTTGTTTGAGTCTGTGACCACATAATAATAAAGACAGAAAAACCCCACCTTAAATGATCTTGCCTATTTAAAGTGAAATTTCTAGAAGGAATTTGTCCCCTGACAGAAACAGCTGAGGTATGGGGATATAGATTTAATTGTGTTTCCCCCCTCCATGGACAAAAGGGTTGTGAGTTACCCAGCATTTTCCTACTGCCTTATATTTATTTATTTAAAATACTTTACCCCTCTGTCCTTAAAAAGGACCCAAGGCGGCTTACATCACTGAAAGACAATCTTTAAAGCTGAAACCAATAAGTATACAACGGTGGTATACTCATTATAATATTAGATAATTTTTAAAGCTAATAAATAAAATTTAAAGGTAAGAACAGTGAGTATAAAGAAGTAGCTTACATAATTAAAGCACAATATTAAAGCTAAAAGCGATAAATATACAAATATTAAAAAGGAACAAACAAGTACCACTCTGAGAAATGGTAAACACAAGTAGTACAAAAACCCCTGTCAAAGTAGTAATGCGTAACAATCCATCTAAAAATTACACTCTGGTCGCCAGTCACTGAGGGAAGGCTTGTCTGAAGAGAAAGGTCCTTGCCTGTTTGTGGAAGGACAGCATGGGGCCCACTCTAGCTTCCTGTGGGAGAGAGTTCCAAAGTCTGGGAGCAGATATTGAAGGTATTGTTAAATAAGATTAGGTTTCATCACAAGGTAAGAAGAGGTACTATGACTCATTTTGTTGCATAACTATAACTTTGTAACCAAAGATTTATATACTGTATTTTTCTGTGTATAAGACACTACTTTTTCCTAAAACCATATACACTAAAAATTGAGGAGTGTCTTATACACGGAAGTAAGCTGAGATAGCATAGGAGAGAAAAAAAGGGCCCATACCTTGCCTCCAATCATGAGCCTTATGGAACTGATGTCAGCTGATGCTGAACAAATCAGTTGGGACACACCTCAGTGGAGGTGGAGCTATAGGCAATGATCAGATACAACAGGGACTTGTAATATCCGAGTGTTCTGAGCCCAGAGGATGAATACCCAAACTTAAGTTTTCTTAATTTGGGGGTTAGAAAAATGGGGTGTGTGTGCGTTGTATACGTAATGGAAAAATATGGTACTTCACTAAATTTTGGGAAAACGTAGAGGTATATATTGGCCATATACTTGTACTGCCATATCTGAGGAAGCGGACATAGATTGACAAAAGTTCACACTGAAATAAAATTGTTGGTCTTTAAAGTGTTGCAAGGTAATTGTTATTATTTTGTTCTTTTGACAACATTTTTAGATACTTTTGTAGGTAAGGGCATGTGGCCTCACTAAATGCTGAAAGAGGAGTACCATTGAGTTCATGTCCTGGTTTGACCATGTCTGAGGGTAAATGGGGAGGGAATGTGTTATATACCACAGCATAGTGGCTTGTAGCATTCATGTAAAGATAATAAGAACATTTTTAAACAAAACAACCTAGTCTCTGGTTCTGTCAGAAGGCTGGGTGATGTTTTGAGGGGACAAATTGGGGGGGAAGAGTTCAAAATACATTTATTTCACCCAACAGCATTTTGATAACCTTTGAAAGTTGTTAGATGAATAGAAAAACAAAAGTAGCTGAGTTGGTCCATTGACAGCCAAACCAAAATTCACCTTTATTGGGATCAATTAAAACACAAATATGCAAGCTCTCTATTTCTTCAGATGTTGTCATCAGGCTGGGTGCTAGAATGGGAGAAAAGGGAAAGTTCACAGTTTATTGCCACATCGCATTCTCACTTAGGCTTTTGGGAAGAACTTTGGGCTGAAGCCCAGGCTTTCTGTTAGCAGGTAAGCAGGGATGTGGGAACACAATAAAGAAAGTTAATCATGTCTTGAAGTAAGTAGAGTCATATAACTTATTCACTTACTCCTTATTTTATTTAAAATATTTTAAATGCACCTTTCTCCTTTAAAGGTGGCTTACATCATTAAAAAGACAGATAAAAGCAAAAACAGTAAGTGTAGAAATATTTTAAAAGAATTAAACAAATATTATATTAAAAACAATAAATAAAATCGATACAAAAATCTTTAAAAGCTATAATTGTCAAAAGCACATACACCCCATTATGCCCGAAGACTAAAATTATCTAACTGTACCACACTTCGTCTTCTTTTATTCAGGATCAGTTTTATTCTGTTGCCAAGATAGGTCTGACACAGATTATACAGGAATGCCTCAATCGAGCAGCAGCAATTTCTTTGCAAAAATTAGCTTCCAAGTGTGGATGTGGTGTGATGAAGGTTGACGCACATGGGGGGGAAAAGCTGTCAGTTAGTCATGGAACAGTGCATGAAAACCACTCTTGCTCTGATCATCTTCCTGCTATATTTGCTAGAGGTGTACAAATTTGTGTCTTTGTGCTACAGAGTTCTGTGCCAAGAAAAGCTAGTCTCGGGCCTCCGTACACAAATTGGTATAATTTTGCAGAACTAATGCTGCTGCTTAATGCGTCAGAGTGGACACTAAAACCTGTCTTCTACCCATTCTGCTCAGTTCTCCCTTTACTTCACTTAAAAGCTGTGGTTTCAATTTTTGCATGCAAACGGAAGTTTCAGTTGAGCTTAGTACACACTTGGCAGTAAATATCTGGTTTCAGTTTTTCTTTGCAGCTCATGTTACCAGGAGCTGATGGGACTAGAACCAGCAGCCTAGAGCTCAGTGTGTAGCTGCTTTCTGTGGTGAGCCACAGGGATGAGGGTTTGAAGCATCAGTCTGATCCTAGATATTGGTTTGGCTTTGCTTATCTAGTGTATTCTGAATTCTGGGAGTTGTAGCCCCCCCCACTAACATTTCTAAGCTTTGAACCAGGGGCCCTTGCTGGAAAAGCTAAGTCAAGAACCAAACCAAGAGTAAAAAATGATTTAAAAACACAATTGATTCAAATCATGATTTAAATTGTGATTTAAATTTTTAAAATGAGTTTTAAAAATTTAAATCATCAAAAATCTGATTTTAAAAAAATTAAAGTGTGACTTAACTCAAATCCACCCTGCAGGCAACATTATAGATGACCAGACAAAATCCTAATCTAGACTGGGAGAGACATTTGTATGGCCATACCAAATCATTGAACCCTCTGTGATAAGGCTAATATTATTTCTCTCTGCACCCCCACTATCCCACCACACACTGTTAAAGTTGTCAGCTCTATAATGCTACAACATGACAGATATTGTACTTTGAAAAACTAAGAAGTGTGGTACAGGCTTTGCAGTTCAGCTTCTAAAAGTTTTCCATCACCACATTATGATTTTTCACAAATGCCAGATTTCTAGCTGCAAAGATAATATTTCAAAATATTTGGGTGTTGTTACATACAGCACTGATGGTACCTGTCTGTCATGGGTTTGGAGGGAAAGTTCCATCCTATGGGGAGTGGAGGGAAAATAAATTATGCACAACAAATTGCAGAATAAATTATGTAAAAGAGCTCATGCAAATTTGCTGGATATCCATAATTTATTTGGATTTTCTAGCACAGGTTACAGTGTATCGGGAAGTGGGTGGTTGAAAACTATCTGTATCAATGCTCCAATAGGCCTGGGCTATATGGATGATCTTCTATTCTATCAAAATAAGTGGAAGGCAGAAACAAAGCTATGGGAGTGAGGATAGGAAAAAAGGCAGCATACTTTGCTGTAGTTTCTTTAAGGTAGCCAACTGATGTGCAATGCTGTAGTGGTTTCAGGAGTCACAGGATCACAGTCCAAAACTTTCTTGTTATCAGGGATTATGGCATCATCATACAGACCCTCTGCAGTTTTCCTGACTTCCTCTGATCTTAATTATGATGCTGACTGTAGCTGGTAGAGAAATTGATTTCCCCAGGAGCAGTGTGCTATTCCAGTTTATATTGCTTGTAGTGTAAAGTATGGGACGGCAGCTTGGTCTTGAATAAACAATTTAAGAGTTATTTACATTACAAAAGACCTGCTCCTCATTTGTTAATAGGAACTGATCAGTCTGCTTGCATTTTGGACTTTCCTTGTTGGGGAGGGTGATGGCTACGGGGATTGTCATGATGATCACCTTGGCATCCATAGTTACCATTGAATCACCGCTGATAGGAGCAGCCCTGACATTTCCATTTTGATTCCTGCTATATTTGCTAGAGGTGTACAAATTTGTGTCTTTGTGCTACAGAGTTCTGTGCCAAGAAAAGCTAGTCTCTGGGGCCTCCGTACACAAATTGGTATAATTT